TCGGAGCAGGGGTTCGGGCTACGGTTCCCGGCTCCGTGGGGCCGCGGGGCTCTCTGCCTGGGAAGGAAGCTCGCTGGCCGCCTCGGGCCTTGCTGCAGCCCAGCTAGGTTAACCAATCAGCAGCCGCTCAGTCATCCATCCGTTCCCTATCAGCTGCGTGGGGCTGGGGACCATGCCTAGGGCGGGAGGCGTGGGAGCGCAGGGCGCCCGGGGTCCTGATGCGGCTGGAGGGGCGAACGAAGAGGGTTCTCCATCCCCTGGGGTGAAATCTCTGGGCCCAGGCTTTGAGACCCTCTAACTCGCCATGCACACCCCGTGTCTGCAGAGGGGGCCATAGTTCAGAGGCCAAGCCCGCTGTCGGAAGGCAGCCAGGCGGACTTGAGTCCCAATTCCTCCTTCCTTTCTGTCATCACTCTCTTTTGAAAATGAGGGTGATAAAGATCCCGACCAGTTGGTAGGATTGACGGAGATGGGGCAGCACAGGGCTCCTAAGCACAGTGCCCCGCGCCGAGTCAGCACCGCGGGGCGCATCGTCTGCAGCCACGTGGGCTCGGGCAAGTTGACCTGGGCTCATCTCCGCAGGAGGGACGAGGTCCGCCCTGTACTTGCGGCATCCGCGTGTGGTGGAACTGAACGAAACGCCTGCGGAGCTGCGCACGGTGCCTGGCACACCGCTAGCAACCCTTCCCTTCCCTGTTCTGCGCCTGTCCCGTGAGTGGACAGGAGGACACCCCGGGCCTCCGCGGCCTATCCCACACTACGGTCACCCCAGGGCCTAGAGGCTTATTCCCTGGAGATGGGACCCACGCCGAACCAAGGTCTCCCATTTTCTAGGGAGAACTTGGGCAGCCGGGAATGCCATCCTTGGAAGGAAAGGCAAGAGGGAGGTGAGCATTCATCCCAAGGCCGTTAAACATGGGGAGAGGCATTGCTGGAAAACTGTTCTGGTCAGAAAGAAGCTGCTTAGTAAACCCAAGAGGCTCAGCGGGAACCCAGCCGCGGTGCTTGAGGAGGTGGGGAGGCTCCAGCTCGCTCCGTTCGGTGTCTGACGTCAGCCCTGCGTGAGTCCCAAGGCTGTGTCCCTGCTCGGTGTCCCTGGCCCACCGGCCCTCAGGCCTGTCCCTGTGAGCGGTCACTGGGGCGTGCAGACCCGAGCCGGCCCTCCCTGAGTCAGCCAGGGACCCCAGAGTGTCGATAATTAAGAGATACATGTCAAGAATGTAAATTCCTGTGGTTCTCAGCCTAGGAAGGGTTCATTCGGTGCCTCAGGACAATTACAAGCTGAGGGAGACTGAAAGAGCCAGTGTTACTGTTTAAAATGTTATCAGTTTAATGAACTACTTATGAAGTGTTAAATGCATGCAAGTGTAAACTGCAACATCTGGGCTTGTGTTTTATTTGTAGACTTCAAACTGGGCGCTTGGTGTTTTGAAAATGCCAATTAACGGTGTAAAATCAGAATTTCTAATGGGAGGAGGAAGATTTTTTTGTGATATCTCCCTAAACTATCTCAAAATGTCTTTAAAACACACACATTCACACACAAACAATGCAGCTACAAGGACTTAAAGGATTTTAATTTAAAAAGCGGGAATTTGTTGCCTTCTTCTTTGTTCTTCATTATATGTATTGCTGGAGGAAAGAAGAATTTAACATCAGAGGTGTCATCAACACAAATTTCTCAGAGGTTGTTGTAGGAAATTTGTCATTTCTACCCATTTCTTCCAGGCCAGAAAATAGTTCGCCTTCAGGAATATTTACTGTGCTTTCTTGAGAAAAATTTCCAAGCTACCCCTTGAAGCAATGAAGTTGGATTTGGAACAAGTGGAAACATTATAAAATTGCTTATTTTCTTCCAAAATTTGTATTTTTCTTCCTTATTTCCTGTTAAATCAGTGCCACTCATTAGCAACCATATTTTTGCATTATATACTCAGCAGAATTTTTGCTCCGTGACTGCATTCCAAATTAAACTTTTACATTTCCAGGGAAAGTGTAACAAATGTCTAAATCAGTCAGAAGTTAAACTAATGAGAGGAAGGGAAGAAAACTCAACTTTCTTCTTCTTGTGTGAAAGCGATTGCTTTTTATCTGTTTCAAACTTTGCGGACACTTTTATCCCTGGGATCTTGAAAGGATCATTCACAAAGCAAGAAGTCTCAGGAAAACAAAAAGATGTCTAAATTCAGCACTGTTGAAGAGTTCTGACAAATGCTGGTTTCAGGAAACAAAGGCAGACACTTTGAGGATTTCATTGCAAGATTTGGATAGGGCTGCCTGTAACCAGTGGCCCTATGTTGGAGCTGGAAGGATGTCCAGGCTGGAAGGATGTCACAGGTTGTATGGTGGAATTCCGCCATGAGATAGCTTACCCAAGATAATTCGGTGATAAGGTTGCAAATAGAGACTTTACCCTTTGCTGAGTGTTCCTTAATGGACAGCTACCAGTCTCATTTATGGGTGCCCCTCTGCCAGGGTGCAGTGAAGAGAGCTAAGTGCAAGTTATTGCTTTCTGGCCAATAGCACATGATTCTCTTAATAAAAAGAGGGTGACCATACATGTTAATTTCCTGTCAACGTATCCCAGCAAGGCCCAAGCTGTTCCTTCACTCTGTCCTTCTTGCTTCTCCATTCCAAAGCAAAAGGCCACCGTGAGCCAGGAAAAATCAAAAGATCAGTTTCTTGGAAGAAAGTTGTAAACTTGACCTCTTAGAGGGAGATAGTGTTGACTGTTCAGGTCAACAAGAGTTATGTACACACCAGGTCTGCTGTAGCCTGGACTGTGCCTTTGAAGACATTTTTAGTAGCACAATTCAGCCCAGAATATTTTGAGAAAGAAGTATATTAAAAATATTCTATCACAATGAGGAGAAAAGGGTGAGGGGATGGTATTTTAAAGCTTCAATAGCCAAATTAAACCGTGAACAGATGAATCAATATAACAGAATGTCTCAAACACAGGCCCTAATAGAGGTAATATAGACAAAAAAATTAGTATGTGGTAAAGATCTGTGAGGAAAGGGAGATTAGTCAATAAATGATGTCAAGACCAATCATATGGAAAAAATTAAAGGTAATCCCTATACCAAAATAAATTCCACATGCATTTAACACTTATATGCAAAAATAACATACAAATGAAAGACAGGTAAACTTCAGATCTTGAGAGCAGGACTTTGTTGATACAAATGCTTAGGAATAGGTTAAAAAGTAAAAGATGATTGAGTTGACGACAACAACATTAAAACTTCTAGATATCAGTAATACTGGAAAGATGTTTGGATAAATGTCAGAAAGAATCCATTTTTATGTGAAAGTTTATTGCAAAACAATGAGAAAAGTGCTATCCTAATACTGTTAAATTGGACAAAGAACACAAGTAAATAATACAAATACAAATATTCAATAAACAAGATTTTCAAATATCAAAAACAAAATAAAAATTCACTTTGCCTGTCAAATTCCTATACGACATGCACCGTTACGCATTGCAGGTGTGACTTTCCACCGACAGAGACTTTGTGTAATTCACTGAGGGCCTTAAAAGTGGCCACATACTTTTGTAATTTTTTTCTATTTCTACAAATGCTCTACAATCAGATAAAAGTACGAAGACTTATTTTCGGGGATGCCTACTTTGGGGATTAAACATTTTGAGAAATAAGCTCTCTAACCAGTAATGAGAATTGCTACCATCCAAATGCTAGAATAATATGCAGCCATTAACTTTTTTAATATTTAAGGATGTGGGGGCATGATCATGATGGCATGCTAAGTGCAAGACTTTGGATGTCGAAAGGTACGTATTGTATATAGTAAAGAACTAAAAAAAGAAAAAATCCAAAAGTTTTCAGGGGGGTTAGTGAGAATTGGGTATAATTTTCTCTTTTTATGTGCTCATTTTTTCCACAATAAGATATATAAATTTATGATAGAAAACAAGTTATTGAAAATAGCCTGACCACCTCTGTGTGATCTCCCCACACAGACCCTGTTGGCAGCTGGTGGGGGCAGATGTTTTTCCCGGGCGATGGTGAAAACATGCTTAGCAGGAGACATGGCTGTGTTCTCATGCAGCAGCGGGCCTGGCACTCCCATTAGCTTCTTGCATGGTCGTTCTACATTCATCCAATCCCTCAGCAGCCCAGCTAGGGGAGGAGAGTCTTCAAAACCCTCAAGGAGCTGTGGCCTCACTTACCCACAGCCATCTGCATATCTACCTCTCCACAGGTGCAGGTCTTGCTCCCCTATATTTTTCTGTATTGCGGAAGATACTGTCAAATTAGGGGTCTCTTAGGTCTGGGAAGATGTTTCCGTGCTCTGTCTACTATGAAGTCAGTGGGCCTCATTCTGTGTCTTAGCCAAAGATAGGCACAGATAGACTCCACCAATCCCAATGCTTCCTGGCTCTGGACTCTGTCACATAAATTGGAAAAAGAACTTTAAAACATCCTCAGGAGTGCAATTGGCCTTCAGAGCTGTCCCTTTTAAAGATTTACTCTAGTACTGTATACAGGGGTGTGCTGGAGTCCGCTCACACTACTCGTGAGAACCAATTGTGTGCATCTCTTCTCAACTCTTGTTTATCACATTAGTAGCTTAAGATTGGCCATTGTAGGAGCTTTACACCACAGAAATAGCTGAACGCTACAAATCAGGGTGGCTTTTTTTTTTTTTTTTCCCATGGAGAAAAATTTACAAGCACACCAATGGCTGTGCTTAAAACAACATTTTATTGTCTCTCCCAGTTTCTGTGGGACAGGAAATTGAGAGGGACTTGATTAAATGGTCCTGTGTCTGTTATGTGGTTGCAGTCAGAGGGTGTGGCTGGAGCTGGGAGAGGGGGAGGGTGAGCAGCTGGGGGTTGACTGGGAATCTCTCACACTTTGTTGTCACGTGGTTTCTGCATGTAGGATAGCTTGGGCTTCCTCACAACATGGCGGTCAGAACAGTCAGAATGATTCTCAGGGCTCCAGTTAGTTTTCTGTTCCCATGGCAGAGCTGAATTGCTTTATGATCTGGCCACTGAAGTCTGACAACATTACCTCCACTGCATTCTGTTGGGTACATGTGAGTCAGAAGCCCATCCTCATTTAAGGGGAGAGGAATTACACTCCACCTCTCAATGGGTGAATGGTAAGTTTCTCAAAAAGCACGTAGGATGAGAAGTATTGTTTTGGAAAATATAATCTGCCAGAGAGTTTAAAAATATACTTTGGGATTTGCCTTTCAAGGCTACTGAACATTGTTTTCTAGATATTTGGTGGTGTGGCTACCTTTCCACTGTTGAGCATATATTTGATTTGTGAGAACAGGCAAAAGATATTGAAAGCCGACTCCAGCAAACAACGCAGATAACTCTGCAGGATGACAGTGGATCCGGAATAGGAAATGTTACAATGGTAACAGCCAGCTGAGACCGGACCAGGGGCCCAAAGACATTTCCAACTGGATGGAGGAGCCCTTCTCAACTACATCTCAGAAATAAATGCACAGCCTTCGAAGGGGACTTCTGTGAGAGACAAGGTGTTCTGGGCTGCATTTTACAAAAGCACCATGTTTTACTATGAAACCTGTCTCGTTGCCTTGTAGCCCCATCGTACTTTTCTTTGGTAACCATCAAAATATTTCACATTGTATTTGGCACATGATAGAGACAAAGTAAATATCTGAGTGACTAACTGATATAGCTAAGCCAGGCCCTGGTTCAACTAGGTCCTTAGGCATTAGTTGGACTTGGCCAACTATCAACAGAGAAGGTGACCCTTTCTCATCAAAACCACTTACAGAAATTCTAATGTGCTTAAACTGGAGGACTCAGGGTATGAATACAAATGTACATTTCTCTTGATACACACTTTCAGTTCATCTCTTTCTAAACTTCGTAAATCTATTTCCTACCATCCTTGTTGACAGGGCTCATAGAGGGGAGGGGCGGGAACCATGGATGCTACTCCAGGGTTCTTCACGGCCTTAAGGCAGACCCAAATAAACCTTAACTGGCTTATTTCTGCTGAAGCCACTAAGCATCCTCTTTCAGTTCTTAGACCCCACTTGACCAATTATGCACCAACCATCAAATATTTACCAGGGTCCTAACCTATTCTGCCACTGGGATAGAGATGCACATAAAAATCCTTGTGCATCTGTACTTTCTCATTAATTAAAGCTCAGAATTTCCCCTCCCTGTCCCCAAAACTAAAACAATCCTTTAGTAAGACTCATTACTGTAGACTTATTGATGCTGAGATATTTCCTCTCATCATGGTGGAAATGGTGGAGACATTTCCTGCTCACCAAATGCCATATCCCCTTTCCCAGGCATATTCGCCAGCCTCCTTGCAGATAGGTGGGGCCGTGTGACTAGTTCTGGCCAATGAGCTGAGAAAGAAAATTATACATGGAACCTCTAGGGTTCTCCAAGAAACTTCCAGGTCGATGCGTGATTCTGGGTTGGGTTGGGATATCCAAGGGTTCTCTTCTTCCATGGTAATCAAAGAGGTCATATGTTCCCAAGAATGTAGCCACAAGATGCAGGAATCACCATTAGTCTGGTTCTTTAAGTGGCTATGTAGAGCACTAGCTCCCTTGAATATCCCTCAGCCCCTGGCCAACCCATACTGGGTTCCATTAAGACACTAAAGTTTTAGGAGTAAGTAGTTCTTGCAGTATAGCCTCGCCTAGCCTGACTAATACACATGGTCCACAACAAAAAGCAGGAGTTGGCAAGGGGCTCATGAGAGGCTAGCTGAGTGGTCCTATCTACAAAGCATGCCACTCAGCTGGTCCAGGTGTGAGAAGCTACTTGGCTAGTGGGAAAAATTCCACCTAACTTTTGTTTTAGGAAAACTTAAAATGAGACCCTCAATGGCCAATAAAGGACATTTCCTTTGGACACAATAAATATTTGATATTTGACATGATTGTTATTATGGGATATATTTGTGGGTTCAGGATTATGATCATGTGTAGAGAGTCTAAAAGTCAATGTCTGATGAGCTAGGTGAACATTTGGCATTCTGAGAAGAATATGTAAACATCACGTGTGTGTGTGTGTGTGTGTGTGTGTGTGTGTGTGTCCACGTATCCATAAAGTTCAGATGAGTTGAGAATATAATAAACAGGAGTTTTTAATCTGTCCATTTTGTAGCTGGCAACCCAATGACTCTACACTAGAAGCTCATATTAAATAATGGGAGATTTTCATAAACTAAGTGAAAGAGGCCACAAAATCAGCCCCCAAAGGAAGGTCAGTTATATACTAAAATATTAGGCAGTGAAATATAGTTGTTAAAAGTACATTTTGGCCAGATGTGGTGGCTCATGTCTATAATCCCAGCACTTTGGGAGGCCGAAGTGAGCAGATCACTTGAGGTCAGGAGTTCAAGACCAGCCTGGCCAACATGGTGAAACTCCGTCTCTACTAAAAAATACAAAAATTAGCCAGGCTTGGTGGTTTATGCCTGTTATCCCAGCTACTTGAGAGGCTGATACATGAGAATTCCTTGAACCCAGGAAGCAGAGGTTGCAACGAGCGAGAATCATGCCACTGCACTTCAGCCTGGGTGATGGAATGAGACTGTTTTCTTATTTTATTTTATTTTTATTTTTTATTTTTTAAAGTATATTCTTTGAATTCTGCCTGAGTTAGAATCTTGGTTGCACTCCTCTTCAGATGTATGACCTTGGGTCAGTTATATAATCTCTACGTGCCTCAGTTTCCTCATTTGAAAAATATTGATGTCATATTATTAAGGCAATTAAAAGCAATAACTCTGCATTAGGATTATGTTTGGCTGTTGTAATAGCATACCTCAAATAACAATATATCTGAGTCACCATGGGCTTCTATAACAAAACGTCATAGACTGGGTGGTTTAAACAACCGATATTTATTTCTCACAGTTCTGGAGGCTGGGAAGTCCAAGATCAAGGTTCCAGCAGATTTAGTTCCTGGTGAGGACCCTCTTCCTGGCTTGCAGACAGTTGCCTTCTAACATGGTGGAAAGAGAGTACTCTAGTTTTTCTTCCTCTTCTTATGAGGACAGTAATCCCATGATAGGGGCTCCACTGTATGACCTTATCCAAACCTAATGAACTTCCAAAAGCTCACCTCCAAGCACCATCATGTTGGGGTTTAGGGTTTTAACATATGAATTTTGGGAGACATAATCATTCAGTCTATAACACGGTGGCTTAAAAAAAGAAAGATTTCTCTTACCCCCAAAGAAAGACCAAAGCTAGGTAATGGTATGTAGTCCACGGTATCAGAGACCCAGGCTCCTTCTAAGTTGTTGCTGCTCCACCATCTTCAGCAAGTCGCTTCCACTTAATGACCTAAGATGGCAACCGGAGTTCCAGCCATCAGGTCTTCGCTCCAGCTAGCACGAAGAAATAAGAGAGAAACACAAGGCAAAGGGCTCATTCTGTACATCTCATTGACTGGAACTTGGTCCCATGGCAGCACCTAAATGAGAGAGGCTTGTAGGCTTGTAGATGTGGTCTCTATACTGGGAAGCCATGTGCCTAGCTTAAAACCATGGGTTCTATAATTAAAGCAAAGTAGGAAAGCAGTTATCAGAGTATATAATTTGTAGTCTGCTTGAAACAGTGCCTGGTACTCAGTGAGCAGACAACGAACATAAACTAGTAACTCTTATCAGAAGTCCGCCATATTGGATGGAGCTAGTCATGCTTCAAGCACATCATAGGCCTCATCACCATGCTCAGAGTATTTTTTGGCTGAGTTTCATGCTCAGGTTGAGTAAACAGACTGCCCTTCTTCTTTAACAGAGTAGCTACAACAATTAAAACATTAAAAATAGCTAAATAGTTGTTAAAAGTGCATTTTGGCCAGGTGTGGTGGCTCATGCCTATAATCTCAGCACTTTGGGAGGCCGAGGTGAGCAAATCCCCGCACTTTGGGAGGCTGAGGTGAGGTCAGAAGTTCGAGACCAGCTTGGCCAACATGGTGACACTCTGTCTCTATTAAAAAAATACAAAAATTAGCCAGGCTTGGTGGTTTACATCTGGCATAGAATAGTTAGACTGAATCTTAGGTTCCCTGAGAGAGAACATAACTGCACCTAAATGATGCCTAGGGCATTGGTGCACTGTGGCGGCAAGAGGAGCCCTGGAGGAGCAGTTGGTCCAGGGGACATGCTCCTCCGGCTAGTGGGAGGGTTTCAGACAGATGTGGCCAAGAGTAATGCCAATGAGAACTGCTCTGGTTCTTCTCAAGGACATATAAGGTGACATGTCATGGTAGCTTCTCTTCCCAAGCTCATGGGTGAGGGCAGAGGGAATAAGAGGAAGTAGAAGACAGATGAGACTTGGAGAAAGCCTTGGATCTGGGAAAAACTGCCACTCACAAACCTTGTCCCCAAAGCCTTTGGTTGCCAAGACTTCATGGGAGCCACTAGCCCCACTCTAGGTTTGCACGACAAATGAGGGAATGACTTGTGGTATTCTAACCTCTTCCATCTCTGACTCTCTGCTTATCTTCCTGGAAGCAGAGGCAGGAGAGGCCCTCTATGCCCCAGGCTAGTCAGCTATCTCTTAGGGGCTTCACCCTATGAATGTTTTATTTTTATTTATTTTTTTGGGACAGAGTTTCACTCTTGTTGCCCAGGCTGGAATGCAGTGGCATGATCTGGGCTCACTGCAACCTCCACCTACTGGGTTCAAGTGATTCTCCTGCCTCAGCTTCCCGAGTAGCTGGGATTACAGGTGCCTGCCACCATGCCCAGCTAATTTTTGCATTTTTAGTAGAGATAGGGCTTCACCGTGTTGGCCAGGCTGGTCTTGAACTCCTGACCTCAGGTGATTCGCCCACCTCAGCCTCCCAACGTCCTGGGATTACAGGCGTGAGCCACCATGCCCAGCCCTGTGAATGTTTTGGATCCTGTGTTTCTAAACCAGTGGTTCTCAAAGTATGGCTCTGGAACTTCTAGGTTCTCCAAGAAACTTCCAGAGGGTTTACTAGGTCAAAACTATTTTCATATTATTACTAAGATGTTATTTGTCTTTTTCAACCTCATTCCCTCATTAAGTGTATGGCAGAGTTCTCCAGTGGCTGTGTGTATGTAATGTCCCAACAGAGTGAACATCCACCTGTCTTCTGTTCACCCAGACTTTAAGGAAATTTGCAGATATATGTCAATCCCACTCTTCTCAGCTGATATTTTTGTTTTGAAAAATATAGTTGTTTTTCACCAAAATGCATTATTTAAGTTAACATGTAACAAGTTTATTATGGGTTATCGTAAATAAATCAGCATTTTATTTTTTAGACCTTCATCCAACGATCTATCAAGGAAATTTTTTTTTTTTTTTTTTTTTTTTTTTTTTTTTTGAGACAGAGTTTTGCTCTCATTGCCCAGGTTGGAGTGCAGTGGTGCCATCTTGGCTCACTGCAACCTCCACCTCCCGGGTTCAAGCGAATCTCCTGCCTCAGCCTCCCAAGTAGCTGGGATTACAGGAACGTGCCACCATGCCTGGCTAATTTTGTATTTTTAGTAGAGATGGGGTTTCTCCATGTTGGTCAGGCTGGTCTCGAACTCCTGACCTCAGGTGATCTGCCTGCCTCGGCCTCCCAAAGTGCTGGGATTACAGGCGTGAGTAACTGTGCTCTACCTCAAGTAAATATTTTAAA